GGCCTTTGATAGGGAAGAGAAACAAGAGAAAGCATTCCAAACGCTAAAGCAAGCCTTGTGCAGTGCACCCATTTTGTCTATTCCAGAGGGGACAAAAGATTTCGTAGTATACTGCGATGTGTCAAATCAAGGACTAGGTTGCGTGCTGATGCAATGAGGAAAGGTTATCCTTATGCCTCACAACAACTAAAAACACACGAGGTCAACTACACCACTCATGACCTAGAGCTTGGAGCAGTAGTGTTCGCTCTGAAGATTTGGAGGCACTACCTATACGGTACAAAGTGCACCATCTTCACCGAACACAAGAGCCTTCAACACATATTTGACCAGAAGGAGTTAAATATGATGCAACAACGTTGGGTCAAACTACTCAACGACTACGAATGTGAAATTCGTTATCATCCGGGGAAAGCCAATGTAGTTGCGGATGCCCTAAGCCGAAAAGAGTACTCTGGTCGAAGAGTGAAAGCGCTAACCATGAAAATCCACTCACACCTGTCAACACAAATCAAAGAAGCCCAAATGGAAGCCTTGAAACCCAAAAACATGACAGGTGAAGCACTTAGAGGAATGGACAAAAATCTAGACATCAAAAGTGATGGAGTTCGTTATCTCATGAACCGAATCTGGACACCGAAGTATGGTGGATTTAGAGAGGTGGTCATGAATGAAGAACACAAGACTCGATACTCCGTACATCCAAGTTCAGACAAGATGTATCTGGTCTCAAAAAGCTCTATTGGTGGCCAAATATGAAAGAAAAGATTGCTACCTACGTTGGCAAGTTCTTAACTTGTGCCAAAATCAATGTAGAACATCAAAAACCCTCAGTTCTTCTCCAATAGCCCGACATACCTAAGTGGAAGTGGGAGCAGATTACCATCGACTTCATAACTAAACTTCCCAAGACGCAAGGTGGTCACGATACCTTTGGTTGATCGTCGATAGGTTAACCAAGTCTTCCCACATCTTGCCAATCAAAGAGACCGATAAGATGGAGAAACTGACAAGAACTTACACCCGGGAAATCGTGCGACTGCATGGAGTGCCAATATCTATTATCTCGAACAGGGATAGCAGATTTACATCATGATTCTAACAATCGCTACAGAAAGCCTTGGGGACTAGGCTAGATATGAGTATAGTCTATCACCTACAAACCGACGGATAGAGCGAGAGAACTATCCAAACCTTAGAAGACATGTTACAGGGTTGTGTTATAGACTTTGGTAAAGCATAGGACATCCACTTACCATTAGTTGAATTCTCATATAACAACAGCTATCATACTAGCATCGAGACTGCTCCATTTGAAGCCCTCTACAGCCACAAGTGCAGATCACCTTTGTGTTGGACGGAAGTGCGTGACACGCAGTTGGTGAGAGGTCTAGTCCCTAATAGCACTCTCACTGGCTTGGATATTATTAGAGAAACGACTAAGAATATCGTTCAAATCCATGAACGACTGAAGGCCTCCAGAGATAGATAAAAGAGCTACGCCGATAAGAGATAGAAACCCTTGGAATTTCAGGTTGGTAACCGCGTTCTACTAAAGGTATTACCCTGGAAGGGCATGATACGCTTTGGAAAGCGTGGAAAACTAAACCCAAGGCACATTGTACCCTTCAAAATTTCTGTCAGGATTGGTCCGGTAGCTTATAGACTCCAAATACCACTCGAGCTTAACAACGTACATCTTGTGTTTCACGTATCAAATATGAAGAAATGTTTATCGGATGAAAAACTTGTAATTCCACTTGAAGAGATCGAATTGAACGAAAATCTTAACTTTGTAGAAGAACCCATCAAAATCATGGATATGGAAATCAAATGAAAAAAGTAAAGTCGCATACCAATAGTGAAGGTTTGCTGGAATGCTAAGCGGGGACCTGAATTCACTTGGGAGCGAGAAGATCAGATGCAACAAAAGTACCCACACCTCTTCCCTAGTCTATAAACTCTTACCTTGTAAAATAATTTCGGGACGGAATTCCCTCTAACGGGGGGATGATGTAACAAACCGATATTTCAAGTCAATGTAATGACTCAAGGTCAATTTTCGTAACCTATTTTGAGATAATAAAATAGTGTCAAAAATGAAATGTTCAAAAACCTCAGTTTAGATGTACCAAGTGATAAATATCGTAACAAGATTTTCAGAAATATAAAGAACACTCAAATCCGAGTTATAACGAAGAAGTTATGACCAATCAATGATCCGTGTGAAAACCGATAAAACTCTGTTAAGTGTAAAAAATGAAATTTAAATAAAATGCTTTTTAGCTTTAGGTATCTAAACGAAAGTCGTAGATTAGGTTAAACCGTGAGCGTACATAAAAAGAACGTCCAAATATGAGTTTGTAAGAGGAAGTTATAGTTTTTGTATGTTTCGGAATAGCGGTAGACAACTAAAAACTTGAATCGGTAATCGAGTGATTTGTAGCCGACACAATCTAAACGAGAATCGAATATCTCGACTATAGTAGTGCAATGGCAAAAACTATGATGAAAACGGACGTCAGATGAAGAAGTTATGGATTTTTAACAGACTATTCCGGTCCCGACTTGTTAAACACATATAATTAAAAATTAATTCAAAATTTGATGATGAAGTCTAAATGAAAGTGGTAGAGTATATTCTCACCCACGCATGGATATAAAGAACGTCAAAAACAGAGTTCGTATGGGAAAGTTACACAATTTAGAAGTTTGAGGCACACAAATCGAGGTGAAGCACGCCCCGCATACAAAGGTACGCCCATCCTACCCAGTACAAGGCCTCGGATCAGCCATGATTCCCCTACGCCTCTAGCCCCTGTCCCATCCGAAGACTGGTGTCTGATGAAGGCGTCATGCCTGACGTACGCGAGTACGCCCAACGTACTTCAGGGTACGCCTAGCGTACGAAGCCTGACAACCTTCCTATAAATAGCATGCGAGACCTCCAAGTTTTGATTGCTAATTCACCACTCCTTCTCCCAAATTTCATACTTTTCCCTCTCGGGACTACCCCAACATCCCGGTTTCATATCCAAGCTCCGAAAAAGGTTCGAAGTCCCAAAGTTCCCGAGAAACTTGCTTCTTTCCAGTCGAAGTGCTACCCAAGTTAATCATTGTATTCATCAAAGCTCCGACAAAGGTCCCCTACAACCACACCTTAAATGCTTTTTAAATGTTTTTTTAAATACTTTTAGGGGGGGGGGGGGGTGGGGGAATACAAGTAAACACACGGTTAAAATCGTGTGAAAAATATCAATCTTTTACTATGAGTTTTCTTGTTCTTGTTATAACTATCATACGAAAACGTTAGCATGCAAAACATATCACAATAACGTTTTGCCCTTTTGGAATAAAACATGTTTATATATATATATATATATATATATATATATATATATATATATATATATATATATTTATATATATAAAACTATGTTTGATTTATATGTTCGTATAACATATCATAAACACGGGTAACCATTTCATCATAACATTATTTATCTCCAAATATGTGACTTAGTTGAGAATATGTGAGTCATTCGTCTTCACTATAACTTTCCAGGTACCACTAGAAAGTCCTGCTTTATAACCAAAATCTCTACCCAGAGAACGTGATACGAGTGTATAGATCTATTCGGGATTGATAATCCCGCATCCTGACTGTTAGCTACAGTACAAGGGGTGAAAATTATCATAACGCTTCAATGCCTGAAGAAAGTCGTTGCAGGCAAATTTATCTCAGTATGGTTATGAAAACTCATAGGATAGACAACTATTATGGTATTTATTTTTACGGAAAAAGTAATATTACTGTTGCTTTTACGTATGATTTCCATGATTCGTATAGTTTTATTTACTGATAAAACTATACATATTCATTATAAGTATGGCATATTTACTTACATTTTTGGTCTTGGTTCATATAAGACGACATCTCACTTTTAGGAAAATATAGTATTTTCCTGGTTCAAATACATCCATTTGGTAGAACAACGATTCATAACACTATTCTTAAGAAAATATCGGGTTTTCTGAAAAAGAACGCGAACTTTCAAATGACACACATTTACTCAAATAAACTACTTATGAACTCACCAACATATATGTTGACACTTTTTCTTTGAAATAACTTGTATTCTTAGGGAATCGCTAAACCAGGTTAGCAACTGCTTTTGAAGATTGACGCTCAGGCGTTGATAAAATATTTTGGACATCATATTGTAATTGATTCTTGCAAACATATAATACTGACAATCATGTAAACTTTTCAATTAGGTATATGATGGTTCACTACTAAAAAAACATCCTTCTACGACGCTCATTGCGCGTCGTAAAACGCTCAGATGACGCGCAAATGCGCGTCAAGAAAGGCCCTGCCATAAAGAGAGATGACGCACTTTTGCGTGTCGTCTATAGACAACGCACATTTACGACGTGCATTTATGATGCGCATTTACGATGCGCGGTTATGACACACAATGCGTATCAAGGAAGGCCCTGTCATAAAGGAAGACGACACGCATTTGCGTGTCGTAATGTTACGACACGCGTGTTTACGACACACAATGCATATCAAGGTAGTCCCTGTCAAGAAAGGCCATATCATAAATCAAGATGACACACATTTTTGCGTATCATAATTTTAAATGTTCTAAAAAAATATATTTATATATTTATTAATTTTTAAATTAAATTTGAATTTAATGTCTCATAATAGAAATAAAATATCATATACAAAAAATACAATCAATCGCATAAAATTTAATGTCATACAATTCTATTTGTTACAATATCTAAATTTGCATCTAATCTACTTTGTACATCAAATTCCAACTAAGTAAAGTTGCATCTTGCCTTTCATAATTCTTTAAGACTAATGCTCCAATCAGTTGATTATATGGATAAGCAGTTGTACATTGGAACATCTTAAGAATGACTTAGCCAAATTCAACTCCAAGTCTTTACTGCATCTTACTGATAATGCTGCAAGATTTGAATCAAGTGACTTCATATTCCTTTCTTCCATCAACTTTACCTGATGCACAAAATACATAGAAACAAAAAAACATTGTAGAGTAAGGGGTAATTTGGGAAAATGTGAGGAGTATCCTCTGCAAAACAAAACAAAAATATTTTTTGCAAGATTTGCTCTTCAGCATCCTCTGGAAAACAAAAAAAATATCTATCAAAAAATGAATTTTTTATAGTTTTATATTATAATTATGCTTAGAGTATTGCATACCTGAAGAACCATTTGTTAGCTCTACAACACTTTTTGAATCTGAACCTTGTCTTTCATCACTAACACCAACGCCTTTTGTAGTCCCTAGGACTCCACATAAAAGTTAGAAAAACTAAATATTCCAAAAATACCCCTAGGACTCTTTTTGTCCCAAAATCTGAATTAAACCACAACTGATGCTTCGATATCGTTGTTTCTTGCAACTTCAACATGAAGTGTTCTAATGTTGTATGTGTAAAGTTTCACACTTTACTGGAGATTCTTGGGGAAGGAAAGAGGGTTAAGCTTGAACAGAAGGTAATTTCATATCATATGCTTTTGTGTTTTAAGGTTAAATGAATCATTTCAAGATTTCAAAATTATTAAAAAAACGTTATAATTGTAGAAAACAAATTGATAACCTTCTAAAATCTTGGGATCTAAAATATATCCAATTAAAACAATGAAAATGTGATTTTGTTTTTGTTTTCAATGTTGTAGTAGTAGGAAGAGATGAAATTTTGATATAATAAACAAATCACTAAAAGTTGGTTGCTATTTCTTAAAAGGTAATTCAACTTTGGCATATTATAGCTTACCTTCTCTGTTGCTGGCAACTGCAATGAGTTCTTTCACAGCTATATCAACAACTTTGGATACAAAATCAGAACTCTGCATGGATTTTATATAAAAAGGATTAAATAATCAATTAAATAAAATAATTAAAAGTTTATTGATGGATTCCAAATAAGGCTGTGTGATTATAGATAGAGTTGAATGCCAAAAACGATTGAATCTCAGGGTACTCATTCAAAACTCTAAGATCTGCTCACAATAAAAATCCAAAAAAATAAATTAAAAATTAAAATTAGTATGTGAATTATGATAACTAATTTTAAAATTTAATAAAAATAATATGAAGAAGCAACTCACAGAGATGAGAGTACATCCCTTTTCCAGGACCACCAGCTGAAAAGGATCCACCTCCTCCCATTGTCTTTCGGTCTCTTCGAGCAGATATCCTTCTCTTTATGAGCAATACTTTGGAGTTAATCCGTTATTAGTTTGACCATCCATCCATAACGACTACACAAAACAATACACATGTTTCAGAAGGCAATATAGGGGTATTTTGGTCTTTTTAACAAAGTGATGATATTGAATTCATACAAGTGTAGATGATATTGAACTGGACGCTTTGGATGTGGATCACTCTCTCCATATCCTACTCTGCCAAACGACATAAAGTAAATTTGCAGCTCTTCAATAAGTTCCTGTCATTATGACAAGATAAATCAGAAAAAAAAAGACCAATATGTTAAAGATAATGCATATAGTGTTCATGATACCTGAGAAATTGGCAGTTTCATGTCTTTGGAGCTATCAAAGCCATGAATGACAATGATCTTGTTGATAATATATGCATGTTTATTTTTATCAATTCCAAAGTCCAAATAGATTCTAGAATCCAAATACCAAGCAGCTCATCAAAATGCTTTAAAGGATCAAGAGCTGCAAGTTGGAAGATTAACATTTTGGGAGTTATATCAGTATGTGACAAAGTATATAAAAACTTAAGAAAATTGTTTTAATCCTTAAAAAAAGTTTTTGAACATATACATAGCACTTTGCGATTTCTGCATCCGAAAGCAAGCAGCATTCGAGCATTGAGTAACTATAATCAAGCATAACTAAATTGCACCATCATATTACTGACTAATCAATACTAGCATACAGTTCAATATGCTCATACAGTAGGCATTTAAGGCATCCTTCCTAGATCCTTAGCCCTAATCTAGCATGCAGTTCTCATACACATATAGCAGGCATACAAGGCATCCTTCCTAGATCCTTAGCCCTAATCTAGCATGCAGTTCACATAATAATATCATATCATAACAAAATTTTATGGGTAATTTGGGAGACTTACTTGAGCTCGACTGATTGCATGCACCACACCCTTTTCTCTTTTTCTCTTTTAAAAATCCTTTTTATGAAAATGATTTCTTTTTAAAATATTTATACCAAGTCCTCAGTTTGAGTTCAGACATACCCGAAAGTGTGTTCGAATCCCTCAAACCAAGGCTCTGAAACCAACTTGAAACATTCCAAAAATACTGTCCAAAAAATTCATTTTTAAATCATAAATAAAACCATAGTTAACAATTCATCATATAAAAACCATAAATCATGTATCTCAAAATATCATAAACAAATGTTAAATATATCAGAGTATAAACACCCCTGACTGAAAACATGGTGTGTGCACTGCAGTCATCCCGAGCTCTTCCCCTTTGCTGCCTGAAGTACCTAAAACAAAAAATGAAAACCGTAAGCATGAATCTTAGTGAGCTCCCCAAACTACCACATACCATACACATATCACATAAACATATCATGGGCCCCACCCACCTACATCGGGCCATGGCCAGCATCGACCTATTCCGACATCAGGCCCCGCCCCACAACAAGCATAGCTTGGCATGCATATAAGCATAACAATAACACATAAACATAATCATATAACATTAGCATATAAACATTCTCGGTCCCTGCCTGGCATCAGACCAAGGTCTGGAAACATACAAAAATTGCTCGGGTACCGCCCCGACATCAAACAAAAGTCTGGAAACATACAATTACAAACACATGCAATAATCACATAGACATCAACCATACAAACATTCCTCAGGTCTGCCCTAAAATCGGATCGAGATCCGTAAACATATAAATCTACATCATGCCCCACCCGACATCGGACCATAGTCCGGAACTACTAACTACTAAACGAGCCGACATTGGTGCCATAGACCCGTTCCAAGTATAGGAAACTCACCTTGATGTCGTGTGAATAGTTGAAGTGTCTCTGCTCCACAACCGGCTCTATTAACACCCTATACATAATAAACTCTTAGATACCATCCCATACAAAAACCACTTCACGAGTCAACCTTGGTCAAAGTCAACGTCCAGTCAAAGTCAAAGTCAACCCTGAGTTTACTCAACTCGTCGAGTCATCACCCTGACTCGCCGAGTTCCCTTGCTACTCACAGTCGTGATAGAACGAGTCAACTCGCCGAGCCCCCTCACAGGCTCGTCGAGTTATTACTTGTATAGGATCGGGATAAATCGACTCAATTCATCCAGTCCCTCTCTAAGCTCGCCGAGTTCCTCATTCTGTTTGGGCCATCTTAATGGATTAATCCCTATTCTTCAGATCTAAGCTCCTTACTTCACCTATAATCTGAAAACTTCCTTTTAAGGGTAAAGTTTCAACTTTACCCATTAATACACTCAAATAGTGGTTTTAGCTAAAACCCTAACTCCTTAGGACCTAGATCTTGGTCGACAAGCCATCCCTACTCCAAAGTAAAGCTTACAAATATAGATCTAGACCCTAAACACTATATGAACATGTAAAGCTTCCACCTTTCTCTACATGCATGGCCTTTTGGAGCTTAAAAGGCCAAAATGACACCCTATGGTTTGTATGGGGCTTCAATGGCCATAAAGTTTGCACCTTTATGCCATGAAAGCCCTCCATGATTCCAGATATGAAGGTTTACACACTTGCGACGTCCTTATCCCAAAGGTCAATCTTCTTGGACCAAAAACCCAATAAAGTGATGATAAAGAGATCTAAGAAGCTACAAAGAAAGTTTGAGACTTGATTACCAGAAAATGATGAGAACGAGATGGAGTCTCTAGATTTACTAGCTTCTTCTTGAATCCCCAAGCTTCTCCTTCCTTCACTAGGTTCAAAACACACCAAGGTTCACTCAAAATGGCTCACAAGCTCACAAATGCATTAGGGTTTCTGAATCCACGGTTTGGGACTTGGAGGTTGGAAATGAGGCCAGAAAATAGGGATTTGGATGCTTAAATAGGGTGCAAAACCCCGAAATTAGGGTTTCATTATGGCATCCCTACTTGTTGGGTCGAGGGCTCTTAACTCGTCGAGTAGGTTGCTTAAAACCCGTGTCCCTTCCAGTCTCTACTCGAAGAGTTTGGGGCTTCCAACTCATCGAGTTGCTCTCTAAAAATGAATAAATTATAATTAAATACTTTCCAGGAACCAAGCGTTACATTAATAGATTAAGTGGGTTTACTGATTGAAGAACTCGACGAGTTCATAAGGGAACTCGGTGAGTTGGTTTGGGATTGCACCCATTCTAGTGAAAAGGGGGAAAACTCGACGAGTTGAAGGAACCTGAGCGAGTTGGATCGAAATATCGTGATTCTATGGTTTGATGGAAACTCAACGAGTTGAAGGATAACTCGACGGTTGGGTCAACTCGGACCGTTGACTTTGACATTGACTTTGACTTGGATGTATACTTTGACCTTAACTTTGACTTTGACCAAGGATTGACCCTTAAGGGGTTATGAAGTATGGAATGGTTTCTAAGGGTTGTTCTATGTACGAGTTGAATAGAGCTTATTCCGGAGCAGAGGTGTATTCAACTATCATTCGACATTTAAGGTGAGTTTCCTCTTGGATTGAACGGGTTGAAGGCACCAATGCCAGCCCGTGTATATGATATGTGTGTTTCCAGATTATGGTCCAATGTCGGGTGGTACCCGGTGATTATGTGCATGTTTGGTTATACTTGTTGTATTTATGATACTTGTATGTGCTCGTTTAGGGATGTGAGTGTGGGTAGGGTCCCGTATCTCACCATTAGCTGATTGTGGTCGGGGTCCCATATCTCACCGTTAGCTAAGAGTGGGCGGGCGCATGCTAGACGAGGCCTTAGGACTGGAACATATAGTACGGGGTATGATTTATTTGTGTTAGCATGATTATATGATATTGATTGAATGTGTGTAGCGGGCGAGGCTTAGTGACATGCGAGGCCTGGGAATAACAGATCTGTATACCGGGCGGGGACCGAGGTTGGGCGGGGGCCAAGTATATGATTTTTTATGGTATAGGGTAGCTTGGGGAACTCACTAAGTTTCGTGCTTACGACTTTTAATTTTGGTTTCAGGTACTTCCGGTAGCAAAGGGAAGAAAGCGTGGGATGACTGCATTGCACACACCACGATGACTTAGTCTGAGATGTTTACTCTGATTTTTATTGATATGGATATTATGACTCATGTTTATGATGGGATGTTTTGATAAATACTTTTATTTAATAATTAAAAACGAAATTTTTTGAACTATATTTTATGTAAGTTACACAAACCCCAATTGAATTTTCATCAACTCCATAATTTGTTCTCGATAGACTCTGCTCCATATTAGTCTTCTTGAAAATTTGACATTAAACACAAAGATTGGAAAATACCCAATATAAATAAAAAAAAATAAAAAAAAAATATACATGATAATTAACTAAAAATAAATGAAAATATGCTAATATAAACTAAGAAATAAGTAAATAAAACGCACCTATCAATACTCCATCCTAAGCCACACTCAAAAGAGTTTATTACAACCAAGTATTCTACCATAATAAGTGTAATCACCTATATTTGAGGCATAGTAGGTGGATCCTCACTTTGAACACAATGGGGATGGACCCCATACATAAGAACGCAAAAGATTAAAATGAGCAAAGGAATAAAAACACTTTTATAAAAAAAAAAAAAAAAAAAAAAAAAAAAAAAAAAAACACCAATTATTGAAATGACACAAAACACCAATAGAGACCAAAAATTGTAAATGGTACATTACCAAACGAGAATGATCAATATAAAAACCAGAACAAGAATAACGAAAAAAAGGAAAAAGTCAAATCAACAATGGAGGCAAAAAATTCGATACTTTAAGCTGATCCACGACATAGATTTCCATATCCTACAACTGATACCAATCATTCTATGAGATCGTGGATCATATACACAACAAATGAAATCATACAAGTATAACCAATATCCAGAAATACACAGTTAGCTGATCAAAACAAGGTTTATAGTAAGTGTGGGAATATAATAGACATCAATGAGAGAACATGCAGAAGGGTATCAAAAGAACCCACATCATCTACTGGAATTGATATACCCCCTGCATGCATATATAACAAAAATAGCTTACCATAAGACAAAGAAACACAAAATGAAAAAAATGGTGTCTTATGGTGAGAATCCAAGATCCATAAGGATGAAGGAATACCTAAAGTATTGGATGAACACATATATACCTAAATCAGACATAGATACTAACATGCGAACTGGATTGTAGGCAAGGTATTGTATGAAGAACTCAAAATCCTATATATCCAAAGTAGATGGTGGTGTGATGGTGCGTTTGAAGGTGCAACAAGAAAAATGAGTTGTGGCTGATGCGGTGCCCATGGTGTGGGACTAAAAGGACGTGGATGAAAAGTCGGCTGAACCTATCCAGATTGTATGTTTTGATGTG